GGGGGGGGGGGGGGGGGGGGGGTTGGGGAACCTGCCTCATTGGGGGTAAGCACCGTTTTATAGCCCGGCGGCTGTCGAAGTGATGCCGTTTTTGGGCCCGGCGGCCAATGCATCAGTTTATTCTATGGGGGTGGCCGTGACTTCCGGTGAAGGTCCAGTGAAAAGTGGTACGTTGGGGTGGTTGAATTCCGATGCAAGAACGGCGCCCCTGTGACGGGGATCACACTCAGCACCCGAGTGGGACGGCTGAGCGAAACACACTCTGACATTGGTTTTCAGTGACTCTGTTACCACGTTGAGAAGGAAGGCGATAGAACGGCATGGTGAAAGGTCCAAAGACTTGAAGGTGTTTTAACATTGAAGTTTCTCATCTGCAGCGGTGCGACGACGACGCGCGCGGGCGGCGAGGGAAAGGGTTTAGGGGAAGTAGCATGAACCACCATGGAAACAAACAAAGAAAGAGTGGAGTGACAGCTTGTACAACAGTTCGGCAGGTACGTTTGCAGCCCCCCCCAGTGGCCTCTTCGTTGGCCATCCGCCACTGGGGAGGGGGATGGCCCCCTGCCGAGGTTGGTTGAGAACCCTTTGTCCAGGGGTGGACACACACACACCAAAAAAAAAAAAAGCACAAAGTGCACAGCACAAAGCACTTCACCTGCCATGAAAAAGTCACTATGCCACACCTTAATTGACATGTCTAGCCAAAAGAGCACCACACCACACTTTGATGGAATGATTTCGACACTGTGCTACTTCACACACGTCACTCAAAGTCGCCATATTTTTCCGCGACGTGTCATGCGAAGCAAACCCTTCAAGAGCAAAGCCAAATGGCATTCAACACCTCCAAAAGCCATCCCAGGAATGCCACTGTTTCACACGAATCTGACAGATGGTCCATCCATCATCCAGAACCTCCTGGAATGTCCCCCCAAACAGGGCTTTGGCGTGATCAAAGCGTCCCACAAGAGAGTCAAGCAAGAGTGTCCTTCAAGAGTCCCACACACGACACACAAGAGTGTTGCACAAGAGCGTCCTGGCACAGGAGCATCCTTCAGAAGAGTGTTTAACACTGTCTAAATATGTCTAAATTCTGAATCTGTCTGAGATATCCAGATTGTTTTGCATTCAGGTCCGTGGACTTCATCTCGTTTCATTCACCTTCATCCCAAGCTCCGTTTGCTCACCGACCCTCGTCTCCACCAAACCCCTACTCCGTCGTCCACCTTCGCGGTCGCAGTCCAGCCAGAGCGCCAGGTACTCGGCCTCTTGGCCCAGTTCCTGGATGTGCTCCTCGGGCGGCGAGCACCGGTGGGTTGTTCTCCAACAAAGGAATTGAAAAGGTATACAGTACGTGGTAGAACCATGTAGAACCCAAGAATCAACGGTGAGACCATACCTGGCAGGCACCAAATGATATGAACCCCGGAAGAAGTATATATATGAGAATGAGAAGTGTTATATAACCGGCAGCTGAGTGGACATTGCAAAGCCCAATGTCAAGGTATCAATCTAATTACTGTATTCTTTCCGGCTGCCTGGCTGTGCAGCGTCAGGCCAAGGATCTACAATCCGATTCTTTGCCACGTTGGCCTCCACAGTCTTCTTCACCTCAGCTTGCAAGTTCGTCACACCGAAAAGCCGCTTGGAATCTCCAAACACAGAAACTGCCAGTTGCTGTAGGGAGCGAATGATTCCGTCAGGCGGCTCTCTTTTAGTTTCGCTAGGCTGTCTCCCTTGCAACAAGAATCCTGCCAAGTGCATTCGAGTGGATGCACCATTCAATTGACCGGCGTGCAAAATATTCCAGTTATATAAATATAGGTAAAGATGGAGCCAGCACATGCATCTCCCAGAGGCTTTTGTTCTACTGCAGCTGTGCCATGTTTCAAACTGCTCCATGTCTGCCTGCTCAAGCGTTCCTCGGAGAGGTTCTGCAACCCGAACAATTTCCTGTGCAACTCACCAGCGAACCACTAAGCACCTGAGCACTGCTTTGAGCCCGGAAGTGTTGAGTCCAGGAGGCATTGGCGTAGAAGAGCTCTTGCGGTGGTTGCTTCCCATTCTCCTGGGGATTGGCTGGGGCTCTGGTCGGACGGTTGACCTGCCCGGTGGCTGGTCCAGGGAGATTCTCTGGAATGAGTGTTGGGGGAACAGTCGGAAAGCCTGGCTGGTGAGTCTCCGAGTCTCCAATACTCTGGCATTTGCACCTGTTTGTCCCCAAGAGGGGGCCCTCCTTGTTTGTGCGAAAATCACGCTAGTCGTAAATACCTTCAACTTGGTAATAAGCCTTATAATTGTATATACAGTAGTAGTGTTGAGCCTGGCCTAGCTCACTGCTACCATCCCTCTGTGCCCCGTGCGTCACGCACATGCCACATCCCCCAGTTCCGCCAGTCGTCAGCTTCCTGCCGTCCAAGCTTCGAAGTCCAAACCGAAAATGTGGCCAATGGTGGACGTCTGCAGAATGCGACATTTCCTCCGAGGGCGGTCCGGGTAAAAAAAGAACGAGCTTGGATTGCGGTGCCAACTCCGAAGAATGGTCAAATGACGGAGGATGCGTATACACATCGCGTACCTAATAGCCCTATACTGTGGCATGAACTAGGTAGCGTTCTGAAGGTTCAGGAGAAAGCATCCGGCCCCACTGGTCACTTAGCAAGAGCAAAGGAACCATCAGTAGCTTGTCGTGATCGTTAATGTTGACCCAAGCCCTCCCCAAATGCTGCATATTTCATCATTCAATGGGTGAGTGAAAAACGCCGGTGGTCTCGGACCCCCACCCAATATTCGCCTCCAAATCCACAAAAACTTGGAGATTTGGAATCTCCGCTCGATTTAAATATATATATATATAACTGACTTTCCAGCCAAAATCTCGGCATCCTCAGCCATCCTTGATGCACCAAACACTCGAATCCATTACTGACCAACCTCCGGGCCCCTCCGACCTTCAGCTAAGCTTCTGCTGTGCCGGTGGGAACCAGGTCACAAACTCCATGCTCTGTACCTGAGCATCAGGTGAAAACGGTCGGCTCAAGGAGTCGGGGCGAATGATCCCGCTGTCCCATGAACCTCAGATCTGTATTCCCATATCTATCACACTTGGATATCCAATTTTTGAGAACTCCAAGTATAAGACATGTGCAACACTCAGCACTCACTTCTGCCGCCCGCACCATCTCTATTCATCTCTCATCCTCCCATCCTTGTCTTGACCGTGGCGCAGCTCGGCTCTGTCCCCTCCGTGGGCGCATGCGACCGCCAGAGAGGCTCTCAGCCACCAACTTGGCCACCGAGGGCTTCTCCTAGGGCTGCTTCCGAGCGAACGAGGGGGCAGTCAACAAAAAAGGTCTAATCAAAGTCACCCAAGCCAGAAGAGTCCAACCTAGGAGAAATGAACAAAAAAGTGGCCAATGTCTGAAGCGGTGACCTATCTGGCATTGTGACACATGACCTCACCTCCATGGGTCCATGGCCAGAATGGGTCGAAGTTTGGCTCCATGGGTCCATGACACCAGCATGTTCAGAGGAAGCCAGGCCGCTGCAACCATGAGGACCATGGGCAAGTTGTCCCACTTGTGTTCATTGAGCTTGGCTTGCTGCTGCCGCCAGCGAGTGCCTCTCATCAATCCCGATGGATCCCCTCCCCACATCCCACTCAAATGGCCAGTGCTGGTGAACAAGGCAGCTTTCCGGGCAAGCCATCAACCTACGTGCATACTGCTGATGGAAAGAAATCTCCAAACGGGCAGATTGGTGATTCAAAAGCTATAATGAAGTTCTCTGCAAACCTCTGCGCATTTGTCTCAAAGATACGTTCCACCAGCTGCTGCATCTCCCCTGGAATGGGGCATCCAGCTTTTTCCATCACGGCCGCCATTCCAACGGCTTTGAAGGCATCTTCACCTGGCTGTGACGGAAATTCTCGGCGAGCTCATGGGAGTACATCCAGTATGTAGGGTGGAATTGAATCTTTCCCAAGCCTCATATTTAACAAAAGGGTCCATTAATTTGGGTGGTGCCCATACAGAAGACCCACCAGAGTACAGTATGCCTTCTTGATTCTTGGGAGTTTTGTGGTGCAATCGACATTGCAAGCATCAGGATAGCAACGGCATTGTGACAAAAGAACAGAATTAGGATGTCCAACAGACCTCCGAATGGGCACACTCACACGCATCTGTTTCAAGAGACAAGCCCCGCAAAAGGGGCCAAGTCCACCCTAGACCAACTTGAGCATCCTTTGACCGACAAGGGGTCTCGCGTTGCTCTCGCGTGCGCCGTTCCCGCACCATCTCCGCGCCTGAGCGCGTGAGAAAGGTCAGGCTCCACCCCTTCTGGCCCGCACGCCCCGTCCGACCGATGCGGTGCACGTAGTCCTCGGTGTTGTTGGCCGTGTCGTAGTTCCTCGGTGCACGGGAGGTGTGGAGAGAGAGAGAGAGAGGGAGAGAGACACACGAGGTGAGAGGAACACACGGGTGCGGAGCGAAAAAGCAGTGCCAGAGAGTGCCGGAGTTTGGTGAGAGGCTTTGCAAAAATCGCTGCCTGCCCTGCTGGCCAAAAGTATCGAAGTACTTCAGTTGATTGAACATTGAGAAAAAAAAACGATATGATACACATAGTCATAGTAATTAAAAACCTTCGACCGGAGCTTTCACTTGGTTTCCTGCACATCAGGAAACCAAGCCCTGGTGGCAACACATGTCCATAGAGAACGTGCTCCCTGCGATCGCCTGCACCACATGGCACACGAACCCAAACCCTCCCTACTGCAGAAAGGCAGCAGCTCACTGACTCACTGCGAGATCTATAATTGTTGGCGGGATGGTGATGGCTGTTCAGTGGTCTAAGCGATCACGTGGTTCATCACGTCATGCGTTTTTTGCCTTGGGCACGTGCTCACTAAGGCAGAACGCCGAGCGAAGACGTGCTTAGAGGATCTGAAGCCGTGGAAACTCAATGAATGCGAATGTTTTAATATTGTGATATATTGCAAGAATGCATCACTGGATGTTGGTGGCTCGCTCCTCTGGGGCGCACCCAAGAGGGAAAGAGGCAGGGACAAGATCGCTCAAGGACCGATCTATATAGAGGTATTGTGCGGCATTCCAGGAAGTTCAAAGGGTCCACCAATTGTGCCTTCTAGTCCACGCGTTTCAAGACTAGCTGACTAGCTCCCAGGTCTTTTAGCCAAACACTGGGGGACAAGCCGATCCTTGGCTTACACTCCGCACTGGACATTTGGGGACCCCGACTGGCTGGAAGCGATTCGGTGACGGCCGATTCCCTTTCCCCGAGACTGGGTAAAGGGTCGGATAACTGCACCGTAACACGGATCGACCCTGGCATGTCACGCGGGGAATGAAGCCACGAGTCAGATCTACTCAGGGTCAGAAATGCAAAATATGGTGAAAGATCTAAGTGCTCATGTTGCCTGGAAGTGCTTGCAGTCAAGCGTTTCAAAACAGGGACCCCTTCTGCGCCAATCAGCAACATACATGGAGCTGCAAATCAAAAGTGCTCAATTCTCTTACAATGTGGGTGCTTGGCGTCCCCGTTTTGAGCTACACACCTTTCTGCGTTGAAAAATTGGTAGGTGGTACCCCAATTTGGGGGCCCTCTGGTGAGACGTTCAAGCTCAGCCTTATTGGCCCAAGTCGTTCTTTTCTTCCTCAGTGGCAATCCGCGGCAGGGGCTTCTTGGAGCACAGACTAGGAAACAGCCGATCACCTCCAATCCCACCACAGGGATGCGATCCATAATGGCTGATCAAGGTTAAATAGCGAGATCAATCGCCATCAAAATGAAGTCGAAGCTGAAGCTTCTGCACAAGGACCGTTGGACGTTGGGACCGAGGCACCTGTAGGTTTGCAGACCTAAACTGCAGATCCATGCTTCAATTCAATGTCAACAAAGCTATTTGATGTAGACCTCAACTAGGCAGGACGTCTTCCTCTAATAAGAAAAGACCGCCATCTATGTCTATGAATCTATACTGGACCGAAGCACTCATGGGAGTCCGATCGTAAGTTCTCTTGCAATCAGCTTATGTGTTGTAGGGGTCAAAGCGAATTCTGGTGAGAAAATGATGGAAAATGGTTGAACTTTATCTTGCCGGGCACAAGTGGTGGCCGTGAAACAATGAAAAATGAAGGTCTGTCTGGCAAGTTACTTGTGCGACTGTCATGCACCAAACAAGAGGGAAAAACTCCAACCCAATCAACATGTTGATGACAAAAGCTTGCAACACCTTGCTTATTCTGGGCCACATCAGGGATAAGTGGTGACCCCTCCAAACATCACGGAGAACTTTGACTGCACTCCAAACCCACACCACCCACAAACCCTCAAGTCCGACCCAATGGGATGAACCCGCCGAGACGCGCTCTTGTTCAGCTCCTCGACGAACTGCGCCGCGTAATCCACGACCCGCACCGCCGCCTCGCTCCGGCGCAGGAACCGCTGGCAGATGTCGATGAAGCCTGCGGAAGCGCGTCGAACCGGCCGAAGGAAACTGGCTGCTGTCCGTCCATGCCGTCCAGTGGAAACGACATGGAGCAGGGCATTGAACCGGGACGGTAGCACGGTCCACGACTCCTGGGCTGGTTCTCGACCTCCCCAGTCTTCATCAAAGTTGGCGTGTGTTTGCTAGACAAATATGCTTAAAGGTCTTCAAGAAAGACTGTGGATTGTAACACTGGATGGGCTGAGAAAGGCCATGGGTTACATACCAACATTCAGAACATAACATAACATTCATGTTGGGCCAGGCCTACAGGGTTCGATGCTTGCATGTGGGGTAACGACGGTAACGCTACAAAGGCCGTGCTCTCCAGCTACAAAGGCCGACAGCTCTTCAACACTTTCTGTGGGAGAATGCTCCAAGTCTACGTGGGATTTGCAACCAACTGAAGTATATATATATATGACAATGAGTAAAAGGCGCACAGTTCCAGGGCGTTGCGTAGAAGCTTTTTTGCTGATACCCACACATCACCAACTTCGGACTACAAATGTGGCTGTGTCTTAGCCTTCGGTAAGGGACCTCTCTGCAAGCACCTGGCGGAACGAAAAGTACAAACCTGATTCTTGGACCAACTCATGCAACATTCTGCAACAAGAACAAGCATCACATGAACGCCCCGGCACACGGACCATCTTCTCCCTCCTCGTTCGCAGACATCTCCTCCCCTTGTTCGACCGTCTTGCATCTTCTCACGGCAGGTGGCCATTTGGGCCGGGGGCTGAGGTGGCGACCTCTCACGCACCACGTGCCCTGTCACGTATAGACCCCACGCGCCTTGCCCATCCAACATTGCCAGCTTGGCATCGCTGAGGCAAACCCTGGGGCTGGCAACTGGTTTATAAATCTGTGTGAGTGCGTCTGTGTCTGCGTCTCTGTCTGTGTGTGTGTGTGTCTGTGCCTGTGCTTGTGTCTGTGTTTGTGTGTGTGTGACTGTGTCTGAGTAATTGAGTATGGCCACATGTGACAAAGCCATTGACGGATATTCACGCTAATTTGGGGGCGGCGAGCCCCCTAGCTTCACGCATAGCGGAACAGCCATGACCCACAGAACCACTGCAGGTGAGGTAGCATCAATCAATATATATATATATATATCAATACTACTTCCAATAAGAAATGGTTTCGTTTTTGGTGTCTTTATTCTGCAGTCACCCATCCTTTCTTCAGGGATCCCTGCAACAGGTGATATCAAAGGCAAATTGACACTCATTTTAGCCACAGTTTGGATTTTGACATGACCAAGTCTGCCTCTAATTTCCTCAGTTCGTGCCAGGCAACAAGGTCCCACAGTGCTTCCAATAGGTCCACAGGGCAGCCTGCACACGAAATCTCCCCATGCCTGTCCGTGCCGTAGATACTGGATGTTGCTGCTTGGGATCCTATCCAAACAGGTTTCTTCTTTCGGCTGATAGTTGGGGGTTCTCCAAATCTGTCGATTTCCCCTGCGCGCAGTCCAGCACACCTGGACCTGGAGCGTGCCAAAACCAGGACAACTGCCGGCGTTTTCTGGAGGAAAGGACTGTTTGAAGGACAACAGCACATACGGTGCAAGAAAGTAAAGAGCCCAAGAAAGGCCCCCTCCCATAATTCAACGGAATCTATTCTTCAGTGCTGACTGGCAGCCCGTACTGTGCTGGAGCAGAACGGTAGCCCAACTGGAAAGAAATCCCCCATGTTTTGCTGTGCTGCTGTAAAGCCTCAGGTCTTCGTCACCCCAAGCAGCCCATGTCACATGGCTCATGGATTCCGAATCAGTCAGATCTCCACCTCCTCTACACTGCCAACATCAAAGGCTCCCAAAATCATTACAAGCAACCGATTCATGGCCGTCCCTAATGTCCTCCTCGCCTCGGCGATGATCTTGCGCTCCCCCACCACGGTGATCTCCCCATAGGCGTCGGTGTATTCCAAGGTCCCATTAATGACGATATACATCTTGGGTTCCTGCGGCTCCTCGCCCAGGTTGAAGATCACATCTGTGCCCGAGAGCCTGGGAGAAGAAGAAGACACACCCGGCGGTTTAGCGAAGGGAGTGGATCTAAAACATGAGGTTCTAGCCCAAAAATACTCTTCAACAACTGTTCAACAATCAAACGGTTCAAAAAATACTCTTTTGCCAAACCGCACCATCAAATGCACTCATAAAGGTGCTAGAACATCAAGCTGGAATATGCTAAATGATCTACATAAGATGCGTGTATTTCCTTTAGAATGCAAACTACAATTGAATGGGTGTCTCGTATTACTTAAACATATATTTTACATATATATATATATACATACATCAGTGTGCGTGTGTGCGCGTGTGTCTGTGCGCGTGTGTCTGTGCGCGTGATTGCTGTAGTCTCTTGACACATATAAGCCCTAAATCACCACTTTTGTTTATGCACCGCCGCCGACGCGAAGACCGTTCAAGTGTCACATACCGTGGTTCAGGTCTCACATGGCGGTGGTTTCGGGCGGCTTTGGACATGTGAGAAGTCTTGATTCTTCCTAGACTCAATCTTGCCAGACGATACCACCGGCGTGCCCGCTAAAGGATGACACTTGAGACCACCTGTGGCGCCCGCTTCCTCTGATTCAAAGCCTGGGGACAATAGCATGGACATCGCCCGATGGCAAATGGGCCGCAACATCGGACTACTCTCCTGAAGGAGCTCGAGGAAGAAAGGATGGCACATCAGGACCTGTGAGTACATGTCCTCAGTGGCAGGCCATCCCAGGCACCGAAAAGCCTGAGCTTCCCGTCGTTTTGGGTCGTCTCAACCAGTTTGACCAGACAGGCTCTGGCCAACACACATACTCACCTTCTGAAACCATGTGCACGCCCGAGATGAGGCTCTTGGGAGCTTCTGGAGACTTAGAGGATCCATCTGAATCC